TCTCTCTCTCTCTCTCTCTCTCTCTCTCTCTCTCTCTGGGGTCTTGCTATGTAACTGAGGCTGGCTTTGAACTCCTATGCAGCCCAGGCTGGCCTCAAACTCATGGCAATTCTCCAACCTCAGCCTCCCAAATACTGGGATTACAGGCATGTGCCACTATACCCAGTTCCTAAATTCTTTTTTACATGTTAAAATTAAATAAGCTGAATATTGCCGGTGCTAGTGAGGAACCCTAGAAGCTGAACTTAGAAGAGAACAATGTAAAGGGTGAGCATACTGTCCAGTTTATTCCTGCCCTGCATCATCATATATACTCATTTAACTCTGAAAATTATCCTTACATGTGTGACATGCCATGTGATTATCTGACTGTGGTGTGTTTGCAGTCAGTTAAATGATCTCCGTCCCCACTTCTGTTGCCCGAGTTTCAGTCTCTAGACTATTGTGATCAACACAATCCTAGACTCCACCATAACCAAAACAATAGCAAACATCCTTGGAAACTTACTATATGCCAAACACGGCTAAGTCTAGCTAAGTCTAGACAAAGATCACTAATGCCACCCCATCACACATGGGAATTACTCATTATCACACTTTACAGGTGACAAGCTAAGTCTCAGAGGGGTTCAAGAAGTGACCACACATGCAATGAGTAACAGGGCCAGGACTTGAATCCAGTCTAACCCTAAAGCCCACATCTTGGGGATCCTCCAATCCTTTCCCTTCCATTCCCCTTCCAGACCTCTCCCAGAGCAACCTTTCTGAAGCATACATCGGACCAGTGCTCCCCATGATAGCATTGAACTTCCACGTGAAATGACCAGGACCCTGCCAGTCACTCCAGCTGTCCCCTGACCACTGCTCCCATTAAGTTTTACTCCGACCTGCCAGATTTCTTATAGTTTCCTAAATGCATGATATTTTTATATACTGCAAGGATTTGCACATACTTTCATTCAAGTGAGGACAACTTCCCTTGCCTTTCCTACCTATCGCCTTCAAGATACTTGTCCTTATTGACAACACTTTTCTACGCTATTAGTGCACCCTGTGTGTGCCATGTATGCTCACATTTCTCACTCTATTGCAGTTATTTCTTTACATGCCTCTCTCCTGGCATGTTATGGTTCCTGTCTGAAAGCCTCCACCTCCACCCCAAAGCCTCATGCACTCAAAAGGGGTGGGCTTTTGGGGGAGCTGAATCTATAGTTTGTGATTGGCTCATTGTCCATTGGGGGGATTAGCGGTGTGAGCGCTACACCTGCCCTAGTGCAAGAAACCTTCAGACAAGACCGAAGGGCAGAAAGAGTCTTGTTTTGCCCCTTTTGTGTTTGCTGTTGTGTTAGTTGATACACTGTGTCAACTTGGCTGAATCAGCTCCTGCAGCGTGGGAGCCTCGCCCTGCAGGTGGGCAGGGCCCAGGAATAGAGAAAGGCTTCCTGTCGCCCTCCCCGACTTCCTGCCTCCTGCCACCCTCCCTTCCCCACTTCCCTGGAGAAGTCTCAGTCTTTGGAAGAGCTTGATCTTGGCAGCCTCGCCACTTTGGAGGAGCTCTGATCTTCACTGTGGAGCGCCGATCTTCGCAGTCAGCGTAGAAGGAAGAGAGAGGCTTGATGGACGCCGCAGCTGCTGCTCCTCCTCTGCTCTTCATTGTTTTCTGCCGCATGAACTGCTGTCGTTTGCCTTGGAGCCAGCGGAGTATGGACTGAACCCTCCAGTAACTGTGAGCTAAATAAACCTTTCCTTCCTTCATTTTGTGTGTCGGGTATTTGTCCCAGCAAGAAGCAAAAAGTAACTAAGACAGCTGTCTTCCACGGCCACGAACTGTTGTCCATCTATCACATCATCTTGTTTTGGAGTCTGCTAGTTATGGACCAAAACCTCTACAAACTCTTCCTTTAACATTGGGTGTTGAGCATTTTATCTCAGCAATGACAGAAAAGTAACTAGAACAGTAGAACTCTTCGAGAACAATACCATTTTATATCAAGCAGAGTTCTCTGGTTGCTGGTAGGAAAAACTGACGTTAACTTAAACCAGGATCATGGAACTGAAAAGGCAACTGGAATGCACTGAGCCCAGGAAAGCTCTGGGGCTTTAGGAGAGCTGACCTCTTTGCAAATGCTGTGGCAGTTTGGGGAGCTTCCCCAAAGGAAGCCAGGAGGGAAGGGGTTACGAGAGCAAATAGAAAAATGGGTGTCCAGCTTGGCAGACGCCCACTGCAGTCTGACTTCCAGCTGGTGAGAAAGCCTGTAACAGGCTTTGAGCATCCATACTTGTGCCAGATGTCAAGGCGTCACTGTCCTCTGACTCTTGGCTGTGTCGATAGGCAGCCACACAGCCAGGTAAGGAGATTGGGGTGAACACAACACGATTACCTTAGGACTTCTTATTCTGCCAGGAGAGGACTGGCTTGGTCACCACTGTAAAAGTCACTGAATCCTTAGCCATGGGCTGCCAGCTACAGTGCAACCCATTGTAAGCATGGCCTCCTTTCAGCCCCGGGTGCTCCCTGGGGATAGGGTAGCTGGTACCTGGCACTGCCAGGTGGTGCTCCTGCTGCATGCTGTGCTAGAAGAAACCACCTGGCTTTCAGTCACTGAATTTCTGTCTGCTTTGGGCCTCTGTGTGATTGTGGTAAGTCAGTTTGCTTGCTGAACTTTTTAAAAAATCTAATAGTCTGTTACTTTTTTTTTTTGGAGACAGGGTCTTGCTCTATGGCCTAGACTGGCCTCAGACAGCCACTGGTTGTCTCCTTCGCATGTTGTTGGAGGTGGGTGAGGGGCAGCTACCTTGGCCTGAGGTACCTTGCCCCTCCTCTTGTGCTAATTACTTTCTCCAATGAAGCTTTTTAACTCTAGTCAGGATTAGCCAGAAAACTCAATGAGGCCTTTTAATTACACAGGGAGGATTGTGAGTTCAAGGCCAGCTTGAATAACACTGCAGGTCTGCACTTACCTCAAAAAGGCAGATATGGTGGTGCGTTACTATAATTCCAGCACTTGGGAGGCTGAGGCAAGAGGATCACTGAAAGTTCATGGCCAGCCTATACTACACAGAGAGACCCTCTGTCCAAAACAAAACAAAAAAACCCTGAAAAAAATCACTAACATTTTCAAATATGCTGATACAAAATACTGTTTTGCCATCCTAATAATTGCCAAAGTAAGGGCCGGTGAGATAGCTTAGTGGACTAAACACCTACTTAAGCAAGTACAGCGACCAGGATTTGATCCCCCTACTGCATGCTGCACCAGCCCTACCCCAACGCATGCTGAGCTAGCCACTGAGTCCAGGCGTGGTCACACACGCCTATAATCTCAGCGCTGGGGAGGCTGAAAACAGGAGGATCACTACAAGTCTGAGCTGCGTAGTGAGACCCTGTACTACATACATACATACATACACACCAAAAT